GCTCTTTAATTTGAACTTCTGGTAGAGTTGGCCTAAACTAAAATACAGGAAGAGACTGTTTTACAATAACGGGAACTGATTTAATGACACAATCTAGTGTGTTTATTAAGATATTTTTATGGTGATGAATGAATGAAAATAAAATGCTGCATAACAAAATGCACTTAGAGTGTCTGAATTTGTTTGAGCATCTTATTTACTTCCTTGTGATTAAAAGCTGTCGAGGTATAGCTATAGCCTGTTTTACCTGTTTGTAAATTCAAATGAAACCATATGAAAATGACTGAATATCACTGGTGTAGAGAGCAGAGAGACTGGATTTCCTCCCCTGGTCTGCGCTGAACATTCACGGGGTTCACATGAAAATGTCAAACAGGGAGATTCTGTCTGTGAAACACTGAGACGATGTATCCTGGCCATTGTTAACGTATATATATGTATTTCACTTTTTCACTTTTTATTTCAGTCTTTCTCTGCTGGAACTATTTTTAGGCAGGTCACCAGGTCTTCATCACTGATAATGCAGACAGTGTGGAAGTAAGAATATGGGTACATGTTGAGGACGGGGAAGCCCACCATTACACCTCCTGTGTATAAAAGCATAAAGTATCTAACAAACTGTTGAATTCAGAGGGCTTTCAGCGGGCATTTTCTTTTTGGAGTATACTTCCACCTTTAACCATGCACTCTGCACATTCATCTTAAACACATGCACATGCACGCATGCATGCACATTAATTGTTGCTCACATTCTCTTTCTCACTGTCTTTTTGTCAGGTAAGGATACATATAAATAGTGGTGATGATATCTAAGATGCCTTTGGGTTTAAATGGACACAAACAAAAACAAATAGTGCAGTTGGAAAGTCCAACCAATGTAAAAAAAAAAAGTATATAAAAGAAGTAGTGGGTAAAGGTATTTGAGTTATGGAAGTCATCATTTGAAGGCAAATAATCCCATAAACAGAGGAGTGTAATATTGTGGGATTAAGCTAAAAAAAGAAGTTTTAAAAAACGTGTGAGCAGAAAGAGACATCTGGTCCTGGCTTCATTAAATCTTTAAAAGTTCAGCCTTAAGGTTATCATGTCAGAAATGTATGTTTACACTTACGTAGAATGGAAACAACATTTTGATTTATAAAAGATTGGATGAGGGACATACATATTCAGTGACCTAGCTTAGTATGGCTCCACTGAAAGCATTCTTTACAGGCCAGATTGTTCCCGTGAGGGATCTCACTATAGCAAAAAGCCAGAAATGATCAGTTCCTAATGGGTCAGCAAGACGAGGAGAGTCCTGCTCTCCTGTCTCCTCTTTAACGTTGGGCTGAGGCCAACTGAGACATTACACGACTTCTGCAGTCTGGCACAAAAGCAGTAAACCTTTAATCTGAATTCTGTGAAGCTGGTATCAGTAACCCTGGGACAAAAACCAGAGTTACAATATTTGAATGCGCCATGGCCTTTCACATGTAAATTACACTCTGCCCCCCTAGCCGAAACAAATTACAGCCAACTGCTGGTGGCTGGATATGAATGGGCTTCCTAATGTAGTCTACATCTACAGTGGGCCAGGGAGCAGCTGGAAAAAAGAAACTGAGACGGAGGAGAATTTATGTGACAGAGCAGGGTGTGATAGTTTGCTTTATTTCATATTAAATCTACAATGCAGCCGTACTGTGACGAATGGGGCTTGGCTCTCTGAGCATCTGTCTCCAAGGACTCACTGAGGGGTAATTAGAGCTGTGGGATGATAAGGGATATTCTCCAGCCCGGCCCAGCCCAGCCCTATCAATGGTGGCACAAGGGTTGGGGCTTTACACAAATCTGTGTACAGGAGGGGGCAGGGTAGGGTGGAGCACTGGATGAAGGGCTGGATTTTTTGTAAATTACATCAGCTCAGGGTAAGAGTCATGGTTTGTGGGACCTGTCTGAGTTTTATATCACCAAGCCAATCTGCATGATGCTGCTTAATGCTTTTGGACTTATTTGGGGTGACAGCTATGAACAAAACTAGCTGGAGTGAGCTTGCAGCAATATACAATGTAGGTTCATTCATTTTTGTAGCTTTGGTTCTACTGATTAAACATGTGCTAAAACTAGGTCTGACCAGGTCATAAAACAAAGTTACTATGATTTTAATATATGACACACGTCCAGTTCACTGCTAATTGTGAAGTATTTGCATAAAAGAAGCAGTTATTCAGGTTCACCCAGAATGTAAAAAGTCTTTACATTTCATTGGCTGGTTGTTCAGTTGCAAGAATTATTTTTACACACCAGCAAAGCTTTACAAAAACAAAATTGGGGGGGGAAAAGAAGCTGCTTGTAGCCAAACTGTGAGAAAGACTTTATGTCATGTTTAGCACTAAACAAGTTAACCTATTGTAGCTGTGAGTCTTGCTTTTGTAGCTCAAAAGTGAATTCTGATTTCTCTTCTTTGCATTTATGTTTAAGACAGTTTTTCAAATGTCCTCCAAACGAGACTCCGACCGATGTTATAAGGCCCAACATAACAGCAGAAATGTGTTTACAGTTTGGCCTTTTTTTACAGGCTTAAAATTCGTCCTTAAAGTGTGCAATAATAGATGAGTGGCTGTTCTGACAAACACGCAGATGCTAGCAAAGATGATTGAAGCTGTGAGGCTTCTGATAGGCTTCTTCACTAACTAACTATGGAATCACTGAACTGGACCTTTTCAAGGTTTTGGTGTCTTTTAGTGCCTTTTGATGCAATGACCTGGCCAGATTTATTGCTTGCTATATCTTTAATTGCACATGAGTGCTCCACTTTTGGCTAGTGAAATTTTATTATTATATTTGGATGTTTATTTGCATATATTTTTGTCTGTGTGATGATCATCACATGCAGTTACAAGATCTATATGGATGCAAATCGCTAATAAAGCTTTATGTGTTAGCTTGCCAGAATTCCTGACTCCTAAAAATCATCATAGATGCAAAAATGAGTTTTTTCTATTGGACTTTTATGTATATTGTCTATGATTAAAACAAACTAATTGTTTAGAACCTGAATAATCAAAATCCTCACATTTGTTGCTTTGTTAGATTTTGTCAGTTTTATTACATTTTCAGACCTACAGTGTTAGAGACTGATAAGTGGGAAGCAGACATCTTTTTGCAGGAGCTTGCTTTATGCCACTACTGCTTTCCTCTGCTGCAATAGCTAAGGGCACGTGAGAAGACTTTTACTCAGGTAACAGGTGCTTAAATGTTCATGCTTACAGCCAGCAATCACACTAACCCTTCCCAAAAAGACTTAGGAACTCTTTATTGTACAACCCACTTGATGATTATTATGTTTACGTAAGCCATCAGGGTTTTTCCAAAGTGGTAATATTTATAACCAGATAAACGCAACGCTATATGGACAATGACTACAAACCTAACAATATATTTCTAGCTGTGACAGAGAGAAATAAATAAATAAAATATCAGCTTTCACACATTCAAACAAAAGATAAAAGAACATTCAAAACAATAAAGGAAAAATACAACTGGCCAGTGCACACGCATTCAAGAGCATAACCAAGGGAAGGACTCCATATTGTTGTATGCTGGGCTGCTTTTCATGATGGTGTGTTTTCTTGATGGTGTTCAATGTGCTCAGCTCACCTTGTTTTTTTAAAATATATTTGTTCTTAAGTCGCTGCACTTCCAAATGGTTTACGTACATAACTGTGTAAGATGAGAAAAGTTTAACTGGGTTTCTGTGAAGGGTAACCCAATAGTGCTCCAAAGTGTTTGGGAGCAATATGGAGGTAAGGAGAATAGCTTTAGGAATTTCACACGGGAGCAAGGGGGAGCTAGGATCTGAGGGGAAATCATCAGGGGCAAGAGTCGTCTGGAGCAAGTTTCCCAGCAGCCTTATTGCACTTAGATGATCTTTCCTCCAACAAGTGACAACGGATTCAAGATCATCTACTAGATGTGGTGCAATAACACCTTGGGCAAACCTATCCCAGACTGTTTAAACAGATAAAAACAGACAAAACACAGGAACAGCACATGACAAACATAGTGACACATAAAATACGCACAGACACAATACACAACACTGACACATCAAAGGCACGGGCAAAGGCAGGCAACCAGGCAAGACCACAACACTGACAGCACTTAACAGGAACATCACAGGACAGACATTCAGACTTTCTTCTAATACACAGATCGAAGCCATGCAAGGACGGAAAAGCATGCACACAAACTCACAGAACAAAGAGATCAACTCCCGACCAAAGCACATCCCCGCACTCTCGCTCTCACACACACCCACACGAACTTTAAACTAACCCTAAACACGAACACAGAATGACACAAGCATATTTTAGAAATCAGAAGAACCCACAGGAAAAATACTTGGACTGTTGTCTGTTATCTCTACTGTGAACTGTTGTGCAAAGTACTTTTTTTTTCCATAGCAGGAAGCGCATACCTATTTGTAACTCGTATGAAGCATTTTAAAAGTACATCAAAGCTATATTTTCCCCGTGGACTCTTGTCTTGTAATATGCTGCTTGAGAACATTAATTTCAGAGAAATCACAGAGACGATATCCAGATTAATATCCACACAAATACACACTAAGGTTATATGTATTACGTTTAACTGAAAAGAAGGAACGCAAAAACAATAACAAACCAAATCAAATAAATTAGGAACAGCACGTTAGTACGATACGTCAAGCAAAGACAGGAACAAAGAAAAAGCTCCAGCCTGATCCCACGACACCTGACTGAATCAGCTCACATCACAACGGCAACACTAGAAAGTCAAAGGAATCAGAACTACAGTACCATAAAGCAACACATCACAAAAAGAAACAAGAGAGATAAAGATAAAAAACAACAACAACAGCAGAGCAACAACAGTGACACAAACTTTAAGTGACAGATACAACATTTGTCATAAATACATAATATATACATATAGATATAAAGAAAGAGGAAAAGCCAGATATACGTGTTGCAGATATTTACTTCATCATCATAGTGCCATACTCCTTGGCCATCCGGCATCTCAGAGCTCACACTACTGTCCTGATCGATTAGCCAGCGATGCACGGCGTGGGCCTAAAAGGACATACGACATAAAGACAGAGCCCGGTTAATCGCAGCAGTGAGAAGCAGAGATGGAGAGACAGAAAGGAAGAGGGAGGGCAGAGGAGGAGAAGCAGCACGGACAGAAAACAATGACAAGGAAATGATCAAAAGATTCAGGAGGAGGAACAGGTGAACATCAAATTGAGACACGGAGAGAAAACTAGGTGGAGCGAGAGGAGGACGAGGAAACCAACCCCACCCTGCCCCAACCTATCCCATCCCACCTTGCTTGTCAAACCCCACCCCGACCCCAGGAAAGAACTCCCCTGTGGGAAACAGGCCAGGTTACAATGAGTGGTATGAGCGAGATGTAGCACGACACGAGGTGGGAGGTAGGCAACACCGCTATGATGGCGATGGAGGTGGGTCTGGTGTTGGTGGTTTTTGGCTCACAGATGGATTGAGTGCGTCACTGTGGGAGAGCTGCAACTTACACACCGGAGTGAGTCGGGATTCCTTCATATCACACTTGTGCGAGTGGCACCGGGACAAAACTGCAGTGTACTTACCCTGAATGTTCATATAGAAATGCGTAACCACACAGAGTATGTGCCGTACACCACAACACCACAGGAAAAGACACCGAGCAATCTTAAGCACAGAAAGAAAAATAACATAAAGACACCAATGACAGTGTGAGTGCCTCCACATTAACACAGATACATCAGTAAATCCACAAAGGTGTGAAACAGCAAGAGTGGCTCAGCCAAAAGTAATTTAGGAAAACAGCCAACAAAATTGCATGAACTCTTGACCAGATAACCAGATAACATTTGGGTTTTTTTTCCAGGACAACTGTCTGCTCCTCTCAGAGAATCAAAGTACAATAAAAGAGACAGTGTCCCAAACTTCTCCAGACAGACAGACAGCGAGACGTCTGCTCAGACTCCTTCAGCTAACATTTAAATCAAGCACATACTGCAGCCGGTCTAGTCCCGGTCACCCTGAAACACACATACAGGATCTCATACGCATGCACCAAACCCCATCTGTTACCCTCGACTGTTGTCGTGTCAGCACCAAAAACAACCGAACACAGCTCCTTTCGCGAGGCTTGCTGCCCCGTGTGGCAGAAATACTTGTCAAAATATGCAATGGGGTGAAATCGCAGAATGCAGGGATTAATTACCCTGTCATAGCTGCTACTGCACATTTACTATTTACTTTACGCAAGCAACTTTACAGTTTTTAAGATGCAGTGATGCAGGCTGTCATACCAATGGGCATTTAGCACATAAACTGTCGGCTGTCGGCATAAACTGCCCGGCTACTTTAATACTGAACGCAGAGAGGGAGAGTGAGGGTGTTACATAACCACATACGAGGGTACACACATCACAAAACTCACTCCCGGGCGGCTGTCTTGTTTAAGCCTTCAACAAACCCATTTGACTTCCAAGAGATCTGTAGCCTAACCACGTAGACTGGCTCCTGCAAATCTCGCCCCAGTGCAAACTTGACTTTAAATACAAAATCAAAACACAGTCCAAATGTATTTTATACTGTAACTTGGTGTTAACCATGATTATAATTTAAACCCATATTCTAGCATGCGAAAAAATCCCTTTAAAGGATAAAACCTGTTTGTTTTTCCTCATGCGTCATATTTGTAAGGAATATTTGACACGAGAAGCAAACAGACACAGAGGGGTCAGGACCTTCTCCATCAGGTTTTGTGACTGCAATGACAGATACTGTTAAACACATAGCAGGGAAGAGGAGGGCACCACACAGGAATAGACAGAGCCAGCTCAAGGGTATAGTGAATCAAACGGTGACAGCAGAGGCCAAAGCCTCTGTTAGGACACCTGAAAATAGACAAAAACTAGCAGAAAAAGGCAGCCAGAAGGCACTGTAATTTTCGCTTTGCAGGAGCCAGCTATAAAATATAACTGCCGTATCGGAGCTTGGTCTCAGGCCGTACATGGGAAAGCAGGTGTGGAGGAGATTGCTTGCATATGTGTTAATGTCTGTGTGAGTGTGCATGTGTGGATTTGATGCACAGGGGCGTCAAGAGTTTGTGGTGAGTTACTGAGCGTGTCAGCTTAGAAGAATAATTGGATTAAGTAGCAGACGGCTAGTGATGACAGCGAGAGGGGAGTTGAAGGAGTTGAGGGGGAAGAAGAGGAGGAGTAGGGTAGACAGACTGAGGCAGAGGGGGGAGAGAGGTACTGATAAGTAAGTATAACAGGCCACTTGCTGTGGAGCCTCTGGGAGCCACGGGACAGTGAACAGACACGCAGAGGGAGCTCAAACCGTTACGCTGAAGATTAGAGCAATAAAGGAACAACACTCATAGTCTCTGAACAACTAACTAGCAGCCTCTCGGGATTTAGCATGCTTTACATCAAACTCCAAGACCAAAAGAAGGCAACCGATTTGAGTCATGAAAGAGAAAGTAGATATTTATTTGCTTTCTATATGATAAAGAGTACCGGAGCAGAGTCGTTCTGTTACCCTTCCACATTTGCAGATTGTCCTCCACAGTGTCAGCTGGCAAGGCAGCACTGATCATACAATTTATGACCACAGCCAAAGGAAAAGGACTGTGAGTCCAAGAAAGCGTTGTATTAAAGAGAAGATAAGTATGGAAACCGTGAATCTACTCATTAAATCCACAGACACCGCAAACATAATTCAAAATTCCCTTTATGATTGTTTTGTTTGTTACCAAAGCTGATTTGTAACTGTAGGTTACTGAGGTACAACTTCTTACAGTCAGATGACAAAATGACACCATTAAATGAACAAGACAAAGATATAGAGTACATCTGCTAAACGATGGCTAGTCAGCTGTTCATGGACTTACATGATGCAGATGATGACAATCAATCACAGATTGGTCCACTGCACTTCCAGTTACTTTCCCACACAGGCTCTTACAGAGTCACCATCTCGTAAACTGGAAGAGGTTTTAAATATACAACAATTCATAAAAAAATGTCAACTGTTTATGCAGTCGGATGACTGCTTAAGTGAACTGCACTGTCACTGTTTTTTGCTTCACCAACCAGTTAAGGCATCAGTCACGCAAGCCTACTGGTGACCGATCAGAGACACCATGGTAACCACCGGTTGCTAGGGAAAAGTTAATATCTGCTGACCAGTTGTTAGGTGAAACCAGTGGAAAAGTGGTATGTGGCGCTGCACCTAAAACCTCCTTGTGATTGCTTTGGCTGTTTGCTTTCATTGGCTGTAGTTTCTATGAAAGACGCCAACTTGTCTGCAAACATTTGCATACCACTTGCTAACTGGTAGTGAAAACTGTGAAGAGCACAGCACAGATTGGAAACTGAGACAGCTTACCTTCACGGTAAAAGCTGTGTGTTCTGAAACATTTTAAGAACAACTATCACTCTGAAGTTAAACGTTCTCCATCTCAGGTTTTCCCTAGCGACAGGAGGTTGAGATTTAAACCTTTGAATCAAATGAAATCACTTAAATTTTCTCACAATCTGCAGATAAATTCTTGAGTTTAGCCCAAAAACCTGAATAGTGAAGTCACAGTGATAATAAAGCATGAATTCTTCTTGCACTTTTTAGTACAAGACGATACAAAAACGTGCTGTTTATTGCCCATGTTCAATTTTTTTTCACTCACATCTTGGTAACTGTGACTTCACAATGAGTCTTAATGATGAAAGTCTCAAAATAAAGAAAACCGAAGAAACATTTAACTCAAAGTTCAAAGATGAACTTTTCTTTAACTTCATGATCTCAATGGCTTGTGTACTAAAGCTTGGAAACAAAAACAGAAGCAAATTTATCATTATACTCGTAAAGAAAAAAACCAGGTTGCTTGTACTATAACGGCATTTTCTCAGATTCTTCGATTTAAAAAAATAATGAAATCAAAATCAAGTCAAGGTCAAACATAAGCAGCCAGTCTCATTATTAGCATATTTGAAATGCTATATAACTGACTGAGCTTGTGTTCACTCAGCAGAGAAGTGGTGTGCACAAAGCTTTGCTCCATTTTAATAAGCATGCTACACATAAAGAGCTGCTCTCTGGTGCTCAGTGAATCTGCACAGCTTCAGTATCTCTTTGTGAAAATAGTCCATATGAGAAAATTACCGACTCATTAGGAAGCAAGTACCTTTCTCAAAAGAGCTACTCATTGTTCCCGTTTGTTTTGGTCCTGAAGTGCAGCGGCTTCTCTCTTGATCGTCCACCTTCCTGCCCATTATCCCCGAGTACAGAATAAATGTCAAGTAATCAAGCTCTTAATGTCACAGGTCAAAGTAGGCCAAGAGTTCCTTGTGAAAGGCTGACACAGTATCTAAACTAAATGGATCTCTACTAAATAATTCAAACAATCAAGCAAAGTTATAACAAGAGCACATTTTCATTGAGGTGGCGGATGGCAGAGCGCTACTAGGAATACCGTAAGACACCTGATTTATCTGGTCTCCGATTCTGGTTTCAACACGATCTAAACGACCACAGCAGGAAAGCATAGGGGACATGAGATGTGATAAACAACACAGGTGATTAAAGAGGAGAAATTGGTGTGTGGAGCTCAATGGAGAGTAGAGAAGTGGGAACAAACAAACAGGAAACCTTAGAAAATGCACTGAAAAGGTTAAGCAGATTTAGAATCACTTTCTTTCTGCAGCTATTTCCAGTAAGGCTGGCTGATAAAATACAAAATTTTTACATACAGTGGCCACATGAATCAATGCAAATATGCTCCTTTAAAATCAATCAGCCATATCACCAATTTGTCTGTGTTCCTATTAAAGAGGGAAAGGCATGCTTAACAATGTCATAAAATGATCCAATTATTATTTTACTTATGTTCTCAGAGCTCATACTCGCAAATCCCTTGTTATCTAGAACCAGCTGCTCTTGAATATTCCCAGATCCAGGTTTCATGTATAATTATTGTTGTTAGTGGCTGTAATACATATAGTATACTTTGTATCGTGTGGACACCAGTTTGGTCACCTGAAGCTGTTTAAAATGTG